GGCCACGGCCATCTTGGCGGCCGCGCGCCCGGCCCCGGGGCCGCCCTGGGGCGGGAGCGCAACGGCGGAATGGGGTGAAAACTTGGGGAAAGGAAATAAAAGCAATGAGGGCGCGGAGCCCGCCTGGAAGCGCCCCCTCGGGGACGTGGCAACGCCGGGGAGGGGGCAGCGTGTTTCCCCCGTGTGAAAGGTCCTTGATGGGGCTTTGGGTTCCTGGGTTTGTCGGCCTGAGCGTCATTAGTGCCGAAAATAGAAATACGAACATTTGCTGAGCTCAGGACAGCGTTGAAACAATCCCCTCTACGCTTAGCATCTTTTTTTTTTTTTTTTTTTTTTTTTCCCCCAAAATCTGTCCAGATTGCACATAATTTCCTTTTTGAAGCAGCTGGTAGACCTGTAGACAGACTTGAAAAATAAATCCCCCCTTTCTCAATGCCTAGGCATAAAAATAAAAATAAAAACAATCCAGCGCCACTTCTCCATCCCCGCTGCGGGAGAGACAGACTCGCTGCCACAAGACAGATGCAAAAACAAAGACGTTTCCTGTGCTGGTACAAAGAAATAAACAATTCCCGCAGCCCTCCTGAAGCTCTGAGACACCAATCATACCTTTTCCCGCCCACACCCACCTCCTCTTTTCCCTGTGCCGTAGCAGAGAGCCAAGTCTGTCTGCCACAATATTCTCCCGCAGAYGCACAGGCGCTCCACATGTCCCTTCCTGCGCGTTGCCAGGTGGATAAGTGTTGGTTTCTGATCACTCGCAGCGTTCTCCTGTTATTTTCCTTCCTGTCAAGCAGCGCAGGCACTTGGGAAGCACCTGAGTGACAAACGTTGGGAGACTATTGCTGTTCTTTGTACGGTGCCTTAAACGTCCAAGCAATGATCAGGAGGAGAAAGACAACGCTGTCCTAGTGTAAGGAAGGGGAACTGTTTGCACTCAATGCATATAAGAAAAATTGAAGTTGATGGCAACTGATGTCCCCAAAGGGCTAGCAAGAGTTCTGACTTCATCATTACCACAAGTGCCTTCTCTGTCAAAGTCTTTGGGCCTGAACAGCTTTCTCTGAAAAGCCTAGGTGCAGATCTGCAAAGAAAGAAAAATAGTAAAAAAGCCAAGCCTAAATACTCAAGACAAAGCAAAGATTAAATTCTCTCATGCCAAGTGTTATACTCAGGAATCTGAACTATGTCATGCTGAGTGGCCACACGACTTTCTGCTTTCTGATACCAGCCGGCTGAACATATCAGCATTTTCCAGAGCAGTCAACATACACATAGACGAGATCAACAGAGTTCAGTTCCCAGCACAGAAATATGTGTTGGACACCTGACAGCAGACAATGTGTGGTACTCAGAAATTAGAGGGGAAAGTAAATCAGGGCTTTTCTTGATCTGTTTTCCTACTCCCTCAGCTTTTATTACCTAGGAGTGTGACTTGACCCCTAATGACAGATGAGACTTCCCTTTCTTGCGAACTGAGTGTTCATGACTGCTTGCAAAGTGCTCTGCAAGGTATTGTCATCAAAGCCTTCTGTTTTTTTTTTGAGAAATATCTAAAAACATTTTTTTTCCCAGTTGATCATGTGCCATTTTTGATTTAGGACACCCCAGGARTACTGCACACTGGAAAGTGCCAGTGAGACTCAATCCACACTGGTCATACACCACAGCAGCCACCTAAGGGTTGTGTAGAAGGGGTCAGTGGCTGCAGATGCAGGTGCAGTGAGAAGGTTACTTACTGTGATGGAAAATCAAGGAAGTGTCTTGTTGAGGAATAGGTTGGGCTTTTGAGGGTGTACAACAGTACACACAGTACACACAGTACACATCCGAACATAACTTAGCAACTGGTGGTACAAACTAAATCACAGCTATTAAATAAGAAAATTAAAATTTGATTAAAAGATAAACAGAGCGAGAATAATCTRGAATAAAACACTTAATCTGTAAAACCTTTTCTAAAAGTAATTCTGACCCCATAATACTTTAAAATGCATTATTGAAGATGATATGCAGAGAGATACAGAGCCTGCTGTGTTACACAAGCCACCCTTTTAGACCCTGTTCTGTGGTGAAGACAGAGAAGTGGGCAGTAATTTTGAGCAAACTGGGGCTGCTGAGATCTATTTTGCCGGGATACCCTAGGCCCCAGGTGATGCCTGCTTGTCCTGTGAGAGCACGGAGCATCCTCGGCATCCCTGTGAAAGTGCTCATGACAGTCCTTCCCCCTCTCCAAGGTGGATCCTGGGTAGGCTTTAATTATATGAGGATCCTGGGACGTGCTCGTGGGGTGAAACAGCGTGGCCAGTGAGTCGCGCAGCATCGCTGGCTCCGCGATATCAGCAGTGCTCGTGGTTGCCTGCAGGGAATTCCCGAGGGGCCGCGCGCGTCCGAAGCCGAGCTGCTACCTGGGGCTCCCACAGCGATGGGTGCAGCGGGTGCTCAGCACCTTGCTATGCTCTGACTCCCCTCCCCTGCCCTCGCAAGCTRCCCTGGCTGCAGATACGTAGCCAATAGACAGGACAGGCTCTCTTGCATCCATGGGCATGGGGCAGTGCTCAAAGGAGAGCTGAGACAAGCCTGGAACAGGTAAAGTAAAAATGACACTTAGTGCTAATTTGTAATCATCCTGCCATACTAAGCAGAGTTCACATAAGGAGAACAGTCTATACTCACTCTCAACATTGCCTTTAAATTGTTTTAAGACCTGAGCCATTTAAATATGTATAATTATTCCCACTTTTTTTTTTTTTTTTTTTTTTTTTTTTTGACGGCATACGAGATCAGCCTGTGACATCAAAACACTTAGGATACGTCTCACTGTCAATTAAACCAAGGTCCAAGGCTGCTCTCTCAGCCAGCAATCTGTATTTTAAAAGAAAACCCTTAAGCCCAGTAAGTGGTTGCCTCAGGAGGGCCTGAACACAATCAGCACCAGGATCTCATTAATGTGTTGTGGATAATTTGGGCATGAATAGGGCTAAGTACACTGCAGTCCAGTCTTTCAGCAGAGCTTGCTGAGCACAGTACGGGCACTTCAGACCAAACTATAAAGAAAAGACTAATGCTATCAGTGAAGGTGGAAAGCACATAGGGCAGGCAGATTTTAAACACATGCTTCATTTTGTAGTACATACGTAAGGATTGTGTCTCCTCTCTCTTTATATTCTCCTTTAAAAAAAAAAAGAAAAAAACCAAAATCCCAGCAGAGTATCAGCAGTAGCCTAGGATAAAATTATGTTTCAATACAATTATAGAAAAATAAGGTTATGTGTTTGGAGCAAGAGTGCAGAGAACTGTTGCCACAGATCAGCTTGAAGGTACAAATTCATATTGGCATACGCCTATGGAAAGCTGAACTTGCCAGCTTCAGATGCTTGTTGATTTTTATTCCAGTGCACGCTCTGCTTAGGGGAAGCTTGATCTTGTGTTCAAGGGTTTGTGCTTTCTGCTGTCAAGAACAAGTAAAGCACTGCTTTTATTACAGTACTAAGGCAAAACAAAGGTCAGTGGGTATCTGGGAAGGGATACTGTGAGACCCTATATGAGTCTGCAGGCATGCAAGTCATTATTTTTTTTGTGCCTTTACATTTTTATAGCTACTTTGTGGGACATTATCTCACAGTGCATTTGTATTTTAATGATGACCAATTACACCTTAAGGAAAATGCTTTCTTTTTTTTCACTAGGTCATGCCAAGATTTCTAAATCTATGCATATATTTTCTATATAATTTTTTATTTTCTATATATGTTTTCTATATAATTTCTGGATTCTTTTAACATTATTGTTCATTATACCGTTGGACTTATTCCTTTGTGCCAACTCCCAGTATGTGAGGTAATGTGAGGAGAAAGAGTCCTATTTTCCTCCTGGATGCAGCAGAAACAATCCCGATGGAGTCAGTGGAGAAATACTCACATAAAACTAATTTCAGGAAAAAAAAAAAAAAAAAAAAAAAAAAAAAAMCAGGTAGTGGCTGATTCTTTTCAACTGATGATACAAGTTTCCATATAAACTGGGGGGGGGGGGGGGGGGAAAGTGAACTTGTAGAACAGGGAAAAGGGAAATGATAAATATTCTCTCTCTTCTGCTGTGGACCCTTCCCATCCCATCTGTGGAGCCCCGGCTGTGCAAGCAAGGCACAAAAATGCCTGCATAGAGCCATCATTTCA